TTACGTAACAATGGAATTGTTAAGAGAAAGCGACGTGCAATACGCAGATGCAGTTTTTTTCGTTTTTGCGGGAAATCGAACATATTTTTAGACCCATCTAAAAATTCTCTAATTAGTCTGGAAACAAGGGGACCCAATTCTTGCATTCTGTGAAAACGGGTAAGGTTGACTGTAACGTAATAATCTTTATCTTAGTTATCGTTACTTTTGCCCGAGCAACGCCGGGCCCACCTGCTAGTTTAATATATGTCTTTTAATTTTTAAAACATTACTTGATTTATTAAATTTATTTATTTAGCTATTCATGCGACAATGGAACTTCAAAGATTAGCTATGAAATACGAAATTACACTACTTTCTATACAGAGATTTCCTTTGTCCGACTCAAAATCTCTCAATATAACACCACAATTGAACGTCATAAAGGTAAGAATTAAATCAGTATATTTATAAATGTTAGAGCTTCAATAGCTGATATACACTTCTTTGTTATTACAAAAATACAGGTATGATAGATTAATCGAGTAACATATTATTATTATAGTAATATGTTACTCGATTAATCTATTATTAATTAGATTCATTTGACAATTGCAGTATAAATTAAAATTTTTATCAAAATTTATCACAAGTTACTTTTTTATAACACTTTTATTCTGATAAGGAAAAGGACGTGAGAATAATAATTCTTTACTGTTCAATAACGATAAGTAAAACTGTTATAAACCAAGCTGATCGCATGAACATGTTTCGATCTGGATGGATCTGGCTTGTCATGGATAGCATCACATCACACGTAAGACTAAATCTTTTAATTTTTTATAAATAGCAACACAAAAGTACTTTAATTAACTTATTATTTTGTATTATTATATTAAAATTTAACAAAATATCCATCAACTAAATAATAATATTTGTTGACAGAGCATTACATACTTATCAGACGATGACGGATATGTACCATCTTCTTTAGTCGGACTAATAGGAACGGCATTTGTGGTTCCCGACAATATTTTATATTTAAAATTAGTGAATCAGTTAGAGAAAAAATTGGGAAATCAATTAGAGAATCAGGTATATTAACCATTGAAATTATTTTACTACTTAAATGTTTATATTTATGAATTAATAAATATCATTTTGCAGCAAGCTTTCACTCGTGTGTATGATGCAGTGTTAGCAATTGCCAACGGACTTCACAAAATTCTTTACGAAGAGAAACTATCTTTCGAACTTCCTACTTTCCAAAAAGGAAGTTGCGTAGATTCTGTCAATGAGTGGAAGTGGGGTAGAAATCTGTTGGAAAGTATTCTTAATGTAAACAATATTAATGGTAGTTTAGGGCCTATAAAGTTCACGAAATTTGGTTACCATCATCTGACCAGTTTTGACATCGAAAATCTTCAAATCAGAGGTTTCGTTAAAGTAAGTTACTTCTAATTTTCAAGTTCATTTAATATTTTTAAAATGTAACTAATATTTTAACTGATATATTTAGGTTGGAAAATGGTTAGAAAACGAGAAGAACCTGAAAATTAATTCAGAAATCACATTTCCTGGACAAACTACAATTCCTCCTACTAATTCTCATCAAAGTCTTTCCGGAAGAACACTTAATATTGGAATACTCTTAGTAGGAGACATAAACAACTTCTTATTATTACTATCATTTATTCTTACTAGTAGCTCGGGACGCCCCCTAGTGGGCGTTCTTTACAAATTTCCATGAGGCACGGCTCCTTTGACTTTTTTGTTCCTATCAATATACTCTACAGCTCTGTTAAAATCCAAATAGTAAGATTTACCCTCCAAATGAAGAGGTGGCGACCCCCCCAAACCGTAGACCCATGTACTAAGAATAAAGTCAAAGGAACCATACCCCTACTCGCGATCCTTCGAGAGATATAAGCCCCTGAAATAATAAATTCCTATTACAAATATACCGAATTATTTATATTGTTATATTGGCCAAATAATAATTTATTGGCCAAATGAATAATAAAAATTTATATTGTTAATTTAAATAAGAATTAAAACTGTTAATTTGAATGTTTGAAATATGACGATAAGAGCGCCTCCCTCTAGTGTCTGTTATCAAACGGTTATGGGACGGATAGATAGATACCCGTTGAATGGGTTATATATATAGATGACAGACAAAATACGATGACATAANATATTGTTAATTTAAATAAGAATTAAAACTGTTAATTTGAATGTTTGAAATATGACGATAAGAGCGCCTCTAGTGTCCGTTATCAAACGGATACGGGCGGAGAGACGGATACCCGTTGAATGGGTTATATATATAGATTCTACAATAGCTACACATATTAATTAACAGATTTTATTAAATTATCAGTTAATTTACGTACATTTTTCTAGGATGTACCCTTTATAATGAAAAATCCTTATTATAAAGAAGGCGATCCTATAACTTCTAAATACGAAGGATTACTTATAGACCTTCTTTTAAAATTACAAGAAATACATGATTTTAAATTTAAATTACATGAAACGAAGCAATATGGAAATAAAAACGAGGAAACAAAAGAGTGGAATGGATTAGTTAGACAATTAATGGATAAGGTATACGTAGATAATCATTATATTATTGAATACTTCTATGCTATAGTTTAATCTTCTATAAAGATTTGTAAAACATTTTGTATGTTTAGAAAATAGATTTGGCACTTGCTTCTTTCACAATATCTTGGAAAAGACAAGAAGTTATCTCCTTTACAGCTCCTTACTACGATTTAGGTTTGGCTATATTAATGCCGAAATATAATGCAAAAACTAATCAAAATTATTTCGCATTTTTATCACCTTTTGAAACAACAGTGTGGCTTACCATTGCTGTATCGGTGGTTTTTACTTCCCTAGTGCTCGCGATATGTGTAAATTTAACACCAAATAGTTTTAACAACAGTATAACAGAGAGAAGGAAAACAAATCAAAGCGTTAGAGATTCTTGTTGGATCACTTTTCCTCAAGCACTTTGGTGGAGTTTCTCGTCGCTTGTAGCGCCGGTAGGTGATCAATTATTTTCTTGTTAACGACTTTATTTCTATAATAAAAAATTTAACTGATTGATATGTATTTAGGGAACAGAATTTGAACAAAAAAATAATCTTCCGGCAAAAATTGTAATGGTGACTTGGTGGCTAACTACGGTTATTCTTATTGCTGCATATACAGCAAAATTAGCAGCATTTATGACAGTCCAGAATATGAAACAAGGTATTAAAATCATTTAAATAAATACTTTAAAACGAATATCTTGATCAATACTGTATGTTATTTTTAGAAATTAATTCTTTGGAAGATTTAGTGACATTTAATACAATTCCATTTGGAACTGTTGGAGATTCACAGATGGAGAACTTCTTTGCCAATAGTCACTACGAAATTCACAAAATTGCTTACAAGATGATGAAGAAATATAATACATTCATAAACGATACTCTCGAGGGCGTAGAGAGAGTTAGAGCATCGTATTATTTGCCAGAAGGTACTATATAGGTTTAATAATGTTGTTAATTAAAAATGATGCATGAGTTTCCTAATCGCTTCAATTTATCTAAACAATAAAGAAATCGTGTTGCTGCAATTAGAAAATTATTGAACTTTATAATATTTCAGGTCACAAGGATCGTTTTGCTATTATTTCTGATTCTCCATTTGTGGATTACGCTGCTATGCAGAGGCCATGCAATGTCGAACGAGTTGGAAGACTTTTCGGATTAGTAAATTAATTCAATATTAATAATATTCAACAATTTATCGCAAGACGACATTAATGCTAACCTTTCATTATTGTTATTGTTACTATTACCAAAGCAGTATATGATAGTATCGATAAGGACGAATGTCTATTAAAAATAATTTTAATACTTATATCAATTGTTTATATGAATACGTACTAATATAATCTTTTTATTTAACAGCAAAATTACGGTCTTGGTTTGCCTAAAGGTTCTCCGTTTGAGAAACAATTTACCCCATCTATCTTAAAGCTAAGAGAAGAAGGATATATGGATTTTTTGAATAAACGATGGTTTATCAATAATTGTCCCGGTAATATATGAAGTTATTTTAAAACAATGTGCTAATTCACAAAAATTTATTGTTTTTATATTTCAGACAATACAATAGGAAGCGAAGAACATCAAATGGATATAAAAAATTTAGCTGGAGTTTTTCTGTGTTACGTGGGAGGATTAACTGTGGCACTCTTGTGCGTAGCTGTCCTGTGGATAAGAGAAAAAACCAAGATCAAGAAGAAAATAGTTGTTTCACGTAATGTAAATATTACGTATAAGTTTTATCTAGAAATATCTATAAAATTATTCTATACAATAAGAAAATTCTTTTTTATCAGCCAGATCGTAGTTGTGTATCGTAAGAAGACTGTTCTGGATGATTCTCTTTCACTTTGCTTTTCGAAAAGATTAATATTATATATTAATAATATAAATATATTTTCTCAATGAATTTAGTATTGATGATTTAAAAATTGTAGTTTTTCTAAATAAATATATTTCAATTCGTAAAAAATAGAATGTATATTTTTTAATAAACAATTGAAAAGTTTAAAAATTATTTGTATGATCATTATTATTTGAAAATTTGATGAAAGTACAGTATTTAATCCTTGAAACTTTAAAATTCATGTAAATTAAATTAAATATAGAAATAAATGCATGCTTGAACAAAAGTTTAGGCTATACTTCAATCAAAACTTATGAATATATATTTCAAAGACGGCATGTAATTATAACTTGCAATTGGTTATCCAATTTATTAGAATATATGTACTGTACAGTACACTCAGAAACAGTGATCAGGTGAGTGATTCAGTCAGTCAGTCAATTAAACTTATTTTATTATTAGTATTAGGCATGATCAGTATTACCGTTGTTATCAAATGGTATTCATTTGCAGCATAACAACTCTTGCTCTCATACTGCGAATTTGACAGTCCCACCACAAACATGTGTTGCCACCCTCTCCGTACTTACCTGACTCACTCCCTCTGATTATTTGTTCGGTTATCGCAAGGAATCTCTAAGCGGACATTATTTCAAGAGAAATGATGAAGTGCATGATGCGGGACACGTGCAAACCGGAAGATTTTTTATAAGAACATAAAGAGTGTAGTATTGCATTAGCAATATTGTGTTAAAAAATAGTGCTTCGAAAAATTATGCTAATAAATTTACTTGCTAGTAATTATTTGGTTATTTATTGGTCATGCCTCGCATATGATCCTTAAATATAAAAATCATACGTTTTAAGATTATAAAAATGTAAAAATTTATTCAGAAGGAATATATATATACAGTCGACTCCCTATGACACTGTTGATTATTCCGTTTTATATGAATTCCATGTTGTACGAGTCACTTAGATTTTACAAATACGTGTGCCAGGCTGTGAACGGCTCACGTATTTGTAAAATCTAAGTGACTCGTACAACATGGAATTCATATAAAACGGAATAATCAACAGTGTCATAGGGGGTCGACTGTATATATTTAAACTCTAATATAGACAATTAAATGTTATAATAAATAGGACCCGCCAGCGGCCAAGCGGTTCCGTTCCTGAACACTGAGAGTTCGGTCGTGGGTATGCAGCCTGGCCAGGAGGGCTAGCCACGTGCAGTTTTTCGGATTTTATCCACGTATGAAACGCCCGAATACCCTTAAAAATCCCGGAAGGTAATCCCCCTAGGCAGATCGCCCAAGTGTTGCGTTGCCATAACTTAATAAAATAAAACAAACTTAATAAATAGGTTCAATGCGTTCTGTGTAAGTTGCTTCTTTCTAATGTCGTGTTTATGTACAGTAAAACCTCGCTAAGACGAACTGCGTTAAATCGAAGCTGTCTACAGCTTCCTGTCACACAGTATGAGGTTTTTTCCTTATAATACGGTCTCTTTAAGTGGAAATTGTCGGTACTTTAACTCCAACCTATTTTTCCGCTCGCCCTTTACTCTTTGATAGCTTTATGATCTTCACTTTCTCCTATATTCCGTATGTATGCAGACGATTAAGATAAATAAACACCACAGCACTATGACGACAATCTTTTTCTGATACAATATGATACCGGCGGTGTCAAAAGGAACTCACTCTATACAGGCCCTATATACTGAGGTTTTCTCTAATATGGCACAGGCGGAGTCTTCCATGGTTAAATGGAATGAAGCAGCTATTCTCAAGACTGTGAGGTCCCCATCGTTAGCAGCATGAAAAGATAGAAATCTATAAAAGTAAATTAAGGGATGGTTGCATCAATGCAAGAGATGCAAATGGTTTAGCTTCGGCATGTAAGTTCTTTATAAAAGAAAAATTGAAACATACAGATTCTTAGTCCCTATCTGCCCTTTATATTATGATGCCTTTTTGGCGTATTTTTATACATTTAATCTTTTATGTATTTATTTTATTTTTATTTATTTTATTTCACGTTATTATTGATGTTATTTATATTGTTTTGGCTTTAAAGTATTTAGTATATTTATTTTGGTTATTATACGTTCGATTGACAGTTCACCTGATGATGGCCTATCCATTAGGCTGAAAACGTTTGTATTAAATAAAGTATTCTCAGCGATATAAGGTGTTAATGTTTTATTAAGTGATTCGCCTAATATTAATAAAAAAAGATGTGGGCTTAAACTTGGTAAATTTTAAAGTCCATCCTAAACCCCTAAAAATTTTATTTTCAATACTTTCCTTGATATTCGAGTAAATTTTTCACGAAATTTACAAGACAGAAGACATTATAAATAACGTGACGTCATCGACGACAACAATTAGATTCCAGCTTTATCCGCCATTGTTACCGAATAGACAATACAAACTCCATTGTTGCTGGGCGGAATCCAGACGCCATTTTTGGTATCGCCGGCAGTTTCTAAGAAAAATACCGAAATTTTTTCTAGTTTTAGAAGAAATAACGAAAGAAAAAGCTGACAAATTGCAGAATGATAAAGGGAAAAGGGAAAGACAGAAACTACGTATTTTAGTAAAGGAAATAAAACTGAAATGAAATATTCGGAAGTCGACATTAGTCAACTAACAACAAATTACTGTACTATGGAAGGAAGCCATTTTAAACGAATTCGTATTGTGTGTAAGTCACTTTATTTAATACTAACAACTCGGACAAAAAATAACGATAGCAAAGATTAAATACTTGTTTATAGACGATCTTACCCTTTTTCGTCGAGTGCAAGAATTAGGTCTCTCTCTCTTCAAAGACTAATTAGAGAATTTTTAGATATCTGATTACCACACAGGGATAACGATAAATAAGACTCGCAACCACTAACCAGTACGTAGTACCACTAAGTGATAAATAATAAACGTTTTCGTAACTCTTTCTGGGTTCTAATTCAGGTTTAATAAATTCGAAAAATAAGCTGGATCTTCCAGAATCATTCATAAATATAAATTCGAACATAAAATCGAATATTAAGACGAAGAGTTCGAATAAAGCGAAATTATAAGCATGCGCTCCCTGGTCTAGAAATATGTTCGATTTCCAACATAAATGCAAAAAAGACATCTAAAACAGTATAGTAGAAGCCGAGTTCTTCGGGTTAATCCTTAACTCCCACTCCCGCAGTGGCAATTTCGAAAAATCTCTTCATAATGTGCATTCTCATGGCATACCCTATTAAAACGCAAAAATCCGCATTTAAAATAGTATAATAGAAACCGAATTTTTCAAGGAAAGCGTTAATTCTGCTCCTCTCCCCCGCGGGGGAATTTCGAAAAATCCCTTCTTAGTGTACGTTCTCATGACGTACCCTAACTGTGTACCAAATTTCACCTTTCAACTCCTAACCGTTTGGGCTTTGCGCTTATTATTATTATTAACATTATCAATCCAACTCGACTATATAATAAGCGTTATGTAAATTATTCGAATGTTTTCGTGCTTTTTCTTAAGGGAATTTTGTTCCCTGATGGAAACGGAATATAGCATAAGAGAATACTTTATGGATAGAGTTTCCCCTTATAGTAGATTTAAATCTCTCCATAACACTTCGACTTATTTATCACTACCATTATCATCAGTCATGTTTGTTAAGTTACGGCAATACAACACTTGGGCGAACTGCCTAGGGGGGAATGCCTTCAGGGAAGTCTTTTTAAGAGTAACTGACCCCTATTCGGGCGTTACAAACGTGGAGAAAATCCGGAAAACTGCACGTGGCCAGACCGTCCTGGCCACGATCGAGCTCCCAGTATTTGGGGAACGAAACCGCTTGGCCACTGGTGGAACTCGTCAGTCAAGAACAAAGTGTTGTGGTCTTACCACAACTTTGATGTCCTTAAATGTCATAATGAATAGGACCCGCCAGCGGCCAAGCGGTTCCGTTCCTAAACACTTGGAGTTCGGTAGTGGGTATGCAGCCTGGCCAGGAGGGCTGGCCACGTGCAGTTTTCCGAGTTTTCTCCACGTCTGAAACGCCCGAATACCCTTAAAAAGACCTTCAGGAGGGCAGTCCCTCTAGGCAGATCGCCTAAGTGTTGCGTTGCCATAACTTAATAAAATAAAACAAACTTAATAAATAGGTTCAATACGTTCTGTGTAAGTTGAAGTTATCACCTGCTTCTTTCTAATGTCGTTTTTATGTACAGTAAAACCTCGCTAAGACGAACTGCGTTAAATCGAAGCTGTCTACAGCTTCCTGTCACACAGTATGAGGTTTTATCCTTATAATACGGTCTCTTTAAGTGGAAATTGTCGGTACATTTAACTCCAACCTATTTTTCCGCTCGCCCTTTACTCTTTGATAGCTTTATGATCTTCACTTTCTCCTATATTCCATGTGAATGCAGACGATTAAGATAAATACAGTAAAACCTGTCTATGGCAACCACCCACGGTTCCTTCAAAAAATGGTCTTTTAGACAGGTAGTCCTGTAATAACGTATTTCCGTACGTATTTTGCGCACTTTTTAGTCATTTCTACTAAAAGCAAAACTCGAGCCGAGCAAAAATAAGCGAATTTTTTCAACGATAGGGCTATATTGGTATTGTATTTTATTCTTATCGGATAACTCGATTTACGGGAGTCGTGGTGATTTTATAAGACAGATTTAATACCAATATTTTTAAAGATTAATACAATACTCGCATTTTCTCGATTATAACGCACACTTTCTTTTTTCGGACTTAATTAATTCGATTCGGTTGTTTTCGTTCGCTCCTCTGTTACGTGTATTACGTCATCGATATGCAAGCGCGTCGTATCTCTACATCACTTTAGTTTTGGTATTCGTTAGTTTAATCTTATTTTAACTTTAAAAATACTGTATTTTTTAATATTTAATATTTTCTTAAATACATCAAGAAAAATTATTAATTAACTAGCAGGTGTGCCCGGCGTTGCTCGGGCAAAAGTAACGATAACTAAGATAAAGATTATTACGTTACAGTCAACCGTACAATATTTTATACCCCTAAGAAA